TCCTTTATTTCCATATCCCCACTGAGTGATGGATGGGGTCTCGATTAGCTTTCAATATATAATATGAGTTTCAGCTTAAAGAGGTTAAAATATTTTTACTTTCTTACTCTAGTTTGAAAGCACACCTGTTTTTTTAGCGTTAGAATGGATTTCAGAATTTCATTGTAAAACTCAAAAATTTATAATTGTGATTCCAGGTTAAAACTATTGAAAATGGAATTTCGAGAAAGGCAAAGCAGTTGAAGATTGTAGGAAGTAACTAGGAAAATTAATTTTTTTCATGGATTGTAGGGAACCTGACACAAGATTGTTTTTTAAATTGTGAAGTTACTTTTTTTTTTCCCTTCTTTCTTCTCTTTAAACTCTACAACCACCGAGGAACTGGTTCACTGCCATTAATTAACATCTTCTAGTACTTTATGGCTGAAACTCCGATCACTGTAACACGGCAGGTTGTGTTTCAGTTTGCTGGAGTAAATCAGGCTGGGGCAAATGCACGTGTGAGAATGTTGACAGTAATCTCTGACACAGGGAGGCATTGGTAGGAGTTATTCATTAATGTTTGAAATATCTCTTTTAGATGAATAATTTAAAGAAACAGGTGGAAAATAAAACCAAATGCATTGAAGAGTTGCAGCAGGAGGTGTGTACAGTTTTTAAAAGTCACAAATACATAAGAGATGGTATTTTGTGGTGACTGTTACTTTTCAACAGGTTTTGTCTGCTGTGATATCTTTAGATACACCTATGTAATTGATAATTTCCTTTCTTATCCTAACTCTGAGCAGATTAAGGAGTCACCTTTGAAATTATTTGATTTGTTAAATTATCCTTCATTTGAAAATAGCAATTACAGAAATAATATCTATAATAAACATTTACTTTTTTCATTTAGTATATGGTATTATTTATGGACTTGTAGTAAAGCCCTGTCTCAGTTACCACTAGTAGAAAAGAACTGTGCATTAGCACAAATTGTCATAACTTCATTTTTATTTTTTGTCATGACATCTGCACCCCTTCTGTCAGCAGCATCTTAGTTTTCATTCCCATTGTGCCCCTCATTTGTTATTCTCTGTTGCTGCCCGGGAGGAGCCTTTCATAAGGTCTTGAAGGAACAGGTTAATCCCAGGAATTAGTGGAGCATTCTTTTTGGTTTGAGAATTGACCGGAACCTGAACTGCTCAACAGAGTTATTTGCTTGATGAAAGCTGGAATTTTTTAAGATTCTGACCTGCTTGATGCAGTTAAAGCATTACAGAATTCTATAAACTTTTTAAAGTACAGTGTTTGTTTTGCTTTATTTCAACAGAATAAGGTGCTGAAAAAGAAAATTACTGCAGAAAGCAAGAAAACCAGTATTTATGAAGGAAAGGTAGGTTTAAATTACATCATGTAGTAGATGAGGTGAGTGTTTTAAGTCCCAGTATAACTAATGATAATATTATGTAAATACATTCTGAACTAGTCTATGGATCTGGGATACAGATTTTGCAGGAATGGGCCCATAATTTTTGGAAGGTATTTCCATTTTTACTCATTGAGCTCTGACTGGACTAGAAGACATTTAGAAGAGATGGACTTCACATCCCAAGGAATTATGTTCCTGATCAGTCCCTTTCTTTGTTTGGTTGATAGTGTACTGAATTCAGCAATCCCATTGAAATAGAAAAGCAATTAAAAGAAATACATACATTACTTGGGTACCACACTTCAAGAAAGAAGTGGACTTTTTTTAAGAGACTCTTACGAAAAACTTAAAAGAAAAAACTGTAATCAAAATGCACAATTGGGAGGACAACACACCATACAACTGGGAAAATCTGAAATAGATCTACATAGGAGGGAATAAAATCTCCATCTGTCTTTTTTTTCCAAGGAAGTCACAGCATTTAGGGTGACTGCTTAGGGCTGCCTTTCCCATTGGGCTCTTGCCATTGTTTCTGTGAGCATTTTCTAACTCACTTCAGGCCAGAGTTTAATTCTGTATGAAAAAAAGCTGAACTTCAAATAGGAAACAGTTCAGTCATATACCTGAAAGGTAACAGAGTGTTTCTGCTCAAAAATAAGAGGTAAAAAAAAAATCATTAGCATATTAATATCTGAACAAATAACAGCAACAATTCTGCATTCCCAAAAGGTGAATAAATTGCAGTTAGAGCTGGAAAATATGAACAAGCAACATAAGGAAACAGTTGACAGCTATCAAAAAGACATTGAAACAAAAAAAGTAAATGAAAATAAACTTCATGAAGAGGTGAGAGATGTTAATTTTTACTGCAGTTTGAAATTTTTTGGATGTATGATGGTTTTATGAAGCTTTATTGGCCAGTCCTTGCTCTTACGTTTCAGTCACGTCAACATACCTGGAACTTGTGTGTTTGCCTGAGAGCAAAGCTTTAGCACATTAGATGCTTAAGTTGAAGTATTTGTGTATGTCTTTAAAAATAGGAACCCAGTTAAAAATTCTCTTTATCAAGATATTGTTCAAAGAAATTCTATTCTCGGTGTAACTACAGCAGAGCCAAATTAGATTGTAACTTCTCCCATATTATTGTTTTTCTGCCCACACTTTTTCAATGGTAATGCAGGGGAAGTTAGGGCAGAGTGCTTGAGATGGTTCGAGGTGACACTTACCTGTCATGGATGTACTTTTAATCTATGTTTATTTGCCCATTTTAATAATATGCATAAAAAGTGTAGGATTTGAAAAGGTTCTTAAAAGCAAATGAAGCCTAAATGAGACTATACATACTTTGCACCCACAGGGGGAAGAAGAAATGAAACTAAGATTTTTAAAAAATACATATTGTTGTTAATTGTTCATGAATTAAATGAAATTTGTTACTATCAGGTAGAAAAGTTGAAGTTGCTTTATGATGAAGCAACAATGATACAGAGAGAAACTGATATCCGATGTCAGCACAAGATAAAAGAAATGGTGGCACTAATGGAAAAACACAAGGTAAGAGATTGTATTGATTGCTATGATTTGTCCTGTGTGATACCATGATACATAAGAACCTTTCCAAATCAGCATATTATGAATTAGAAAGTGCAGCTTCATAAAAAAGACCTGAACCTAGGAAAATGAAGTTGAACACATGCTTGACTTTTCATCATCTAAAAATAAATTCATCTTCAGATTTTGAAAACATGCCTCTGGGCAGAAAAATGCCATTTATCTAAATTTCTAGGATTTTTTTTTCTCTAGGCTTCCTTTGATACCACCCTAATGCAGTGTCCTTCGGTGTCAGTCTGGCCTCTTTCTCGAGGAGATTCCTTGGTGACCTTCAGCAGTTTAATGTGACATATTTTAATGTACATTTTTATTCCTCCCTTTTGCAATCTATTTAGCAGATAACATTAATAAAAATAGCATGGCTTATGTGCTGGGACATGTGCTGCTGCATAGAAATTAAGCATTCTCTGTCAGCCCCCAAAATAATTCTGCTGGGGCATTTTCTGTTCCACGGTTTCTGCAGAAGCACCAGTGTTTGTTCATGGTGCTCCCTGAATCTTCAGAAGAGTCTGGTTTGAGAAAAGGACTGATGTTTGCAGACTGGGTAGATCTGTAATTGTAACATTTAGTCCAATGTTTTTGGTTTGGTTTGTTTTTTTTAAAACAGCATGAATATGACAAAATGGTTGAAGAAAAAGATGCGGAGTTAAAACTATATAAAATTAAGCAGCAAGAGCAGTTATCATCAGAAAGATCACTGGTAAGGAGTGCTTTTCAACACTAAATAATGCAATGGAGGGGCTAATGTCATCCAAGTGTAATATAACCATAAATACCATATTTTACTTTTCCTGTTTAATACTTGGAGAGGGTTAAGTGTCTGCTTTAGTGGGACTGAACAGTAAAGATCACTAATTTCTGCTTGCTTTTATTTTCTTAGAGATCTTATGTGCTTTAAAAAACCCAAACGTTTCTAAAAATAAATTGGAGTAGCAGTTGGTTTCTGTCTGCTTTTCCAGAGAGTGTACCACGTTCTGACCTCACTGTCTAAGAACCTTTAGTATCAAGTAGTTGGATTCCATCCCCCCTAACCTCTGTTCTCCCAAGGGTTTTAAGTTCTTGCCTGAACACTTCTGGTCAAGTACCTGGTTCTTATGGTACTTCAGCTCTTTTTAAAACAAGCTAAAACAGAGCTTCCACTATAGGGTTGCAAAACAAATGGATTTTTCCTTTGTTTCTAACAAATATCCCTATTAATTACTGTCTCATTTTGGCCTGTTTTCTTTTTTCCCTGCCCTTTTTCTCATCGTTTATAGGAAAGTGAGCTGTCACGTTTGAAAAGCGAACTGTCATCCCTTAAGGAACAACTGAAAGAAGAAATCGAGGAAAAGGTGAATTTTTTTAATAACTGTAGCAGTGTGGGTGACAGGTTTGGTCTGGGCTTATGCACTAGGAGAAGCTGTATAAGAAATGAAACTGTGAATAGAAAAATGACTTTTGAATGCTGCAGTTGTACTAAATCTGGCCATATGTTTATATGAACTTTGTAACAGTGTATGATAGTGGACTGTGTTCTGTAATTACACCAGGAAGATTTTTAGCAACTGAATTCAAATAAAATATTTACTTCCTATCCTGTAACTCTTTTCAGGAGAATCTTGTGAAAAAACACTCCCAAAATAGGGTTCCTGAAACTGAAATGGAGCACAAGGTAACTTTAACCAAAGAAATTATTTTAGAATTTGGTCATATTTATACATATGGAATCTAAATGAAGTTCTATGATACTTTATGTACACTCAACAAAAGACATTGAAATGCTTTTAGCTTAAACCTTTTTTAATTTTAGAAAATACGGACTTATTTTCCTGAGACTCAGATACCTCCTTGAGATTTGGACACTGAATCTACTGATGTAAAAAATAAAAAGTCTCCTTCTTATGGAAAGACTATTTTAAGTAAAAACAATCTTGCTATCAATGTCAGTGTCTCTCTGACAGAACTTTCCTGCAGTTTTGTTGGTTTCTGTTTCCTCAGGTGTTTGTTGTAGTCCACAAGTGGTGGCTACAGTTCCAAACAACCTGCATTTCTGCAGATAAACAGGAAGCACTTAGATACCATGTGCCAGAAAAATCAGTTCTTCCACAGCTTCCTGCTCATTCTCCTTGCTCAGCAACCAAAAGAGATTTTCCATCCCCACCCCCTTTTGTTTGGGCCTTTGCTTCACATTTTGGCTGGAAAGATAATAATTCCACAGCATCTCCCAGGTGTCTTCTTGGACAACTCAGAGCACAAACTGGGTTGTGAGGTTGGGTTGTGAGGTTCTATACTTACCCCCAAAAACAGAACTAAGAATGTAACCATTTTCTTTCCCAGACCTATGTGATCAAGACTCCTCCAGTCCATACCCTGCAGGGGGAGAGAAGCACAACTCTGCCTCCCGAGCAGAGCACGAGGAAAAAGCAGAAAGTGCTTCTTCATCTGGACACTCACTCGGACAGCTCTGAGCACAGTGACCTCCTGGTGAGAGTCAGAGCCCAGACCTGCCCTGAGCAGTTCTCTGGGCACACTCCTGAGGGTGGAGAGAAAGCCTGGGGGCTTCCAGATCACAGACCTTACTTATATGTATATTTTTATTTACTTGGTTCTTTCTGGAACTCTATTTGTATGTACATAATTTACATGCCTGTTATTAAACTGTTCAGGCTTCATAGTAACATCTCAACTTTTTTTTGTTCATACTTTAATATTCCTGGGGGAAAGGGAAAAGTATTTTTTAGTATACTGTAACTAAATAGCTTTTTTCTTTTTAATTTCAGAGCATGGTCTCGGAAGAGAAAATGTTTAAGAAGTTGTACCAAGATTATCCTCAAGCTTCACAATTACATTCCACGGCACCAAAAAAGGTACATTAGCTTGTCTTCAGATTAAACCAAACAGTTTGGTGATGTTTATGCACATGGAACCTCATTGAAGTTCCATGACAGTTCATGTACGCTCACCAAAAGACATTGAGCTGCTTTTAACTTCAACCTTTTGTAATTTTAGAAAATACAAACTTACTTTCCTGAGAATCCTAAACCACATTTAGAACAGTGACTCTATTAATGTAAGAAGTAAGAAGTCTCTAAATGATATCCCTAGGGGAGTCAATACATGGAAAAGAAGAAATGCCTCCTTCAGTGTCTGGCAAAAGCCCCTTGGGCAGTCCAGCTTGGAAGCTTTGTGACTCTTGACAGTGAATTGTTCTTGTGGCATTTTTGACTGTACTTCTTACTTCTCTGTAGATGGTTATTTATTTTTTTGATGGGATAAGCAGGGGTTTAAAAGAGCAATACCATTTCACACTGACATCAGAGAGCAGTTTGTGGAAGGGCTCCCAACGTGTGTCATTTTTCTTGCTCAGTTATCATTTATCAGTAACAATTCCTATCCAAGAGAGACTGTGAATTTAATAATATCTCTGGAATTCTCTTACTTTGTCTTAAAAGTGTGTTTTTGTAACAGCACTTTTTTTCCATGGAATAGAAAAAATCTTGTATAGATGTAAAAATTGTCAAATGATTCCTGACTTATGCTCCTCCCCTGCAGAACTTATGCTCTTCCCCTGTCAGAAGACCACTGGTGATGTTTATATTGTAATAACAGATTCACTGCCATTTCTACATTACCCTTTCTAGAAAAGGATTGCAGTGGACCATTGCAATGTTTCTCAGAAGTTTAACCTGTGGTGAAAAGACTATTTTAAGTAAAAACAATCTTGCTATCAATGTCAGTGTCTCTCTGACAGAACTTTCCTGCAGTTTTGTTGGTTTCTGTTTCCTCAGGTGTTTGTTGTAGTCCACAGGTGGTGGCTACAGTTCCAAACAACCTGCATTTCTGCAGATAAACAGGAAGCACTTAGATACCATGTGCCAGAAAAATCAGTTCTTCCACAGCTTCCTGCTCATTCTCCTTGCTCAGCAACCAAAAGAGATTTTCCATCCCCACCCCCTTTTGTTTGGGCCTTTGCTTCACATTTTGGCTGGAAAGATAATAATTCCACAGCATCTCCCAGGTGTCTTCTTGGACAACTCAGAGCACAAACTGGGTTGTGAGGTTGGGTTGTGAGGTTCTATACTTACCCCCAAAAACAGAACTAAGAATGTAACCATTTTCTTTCCCAGACCTATGTGATCAAGACTCCTCCAGTCCATACCCTGCAGGGGGAGAGAAGCACAACTCTGCCTCCCGAGCAGAGCACGAGGAAAAAGCAGAAAGTGCTTCTTCATCTGGACACTCACTCGGACAGCTCTGAGCACAGTGACCTCCTGGTGAGAGTCAGAGCCCAGACCTGCCCTGAGCAGTTCTCTGGGCACACTCCTGAGGGTGGAGAGAAAGCCTGGGGGCTTCCAGATCACAGACCTTACTTATATGTATATTTTTATTTACTTGGTTCTTTCTGGAACTCTATTTGTATGTACATAATTTACATGCCTGTTATTAAACTGTTCAGGCTTCATAGTAACATCTCAACTTTTTTTTGTTCATACTTTAATATTCCTGGGGGAAAGGGAAAAGTATTTTTCAGTATACTGTAACTAAATAGCTTTTTTCTTTTTTAATTTCAGAGCATGGTCTCGGAAGAGAAAATGTTTAAGAAGTTGTACCAAGATTATCCTCAAGCTTCACAATTATATTCCACAGCACCAAAAAAGGTACATTCAGATTAAACCAAACAGTTAATCAAATTCTTTCCAGAAAGTAATGGTGGCTTTATTTTCCTTGTTAGACGCCGACTCTCTCCAGTGTGAAATCTCCAGGCTCTGCACTGAAACTCAAAGCCATGAGGAAGATGCACGAGGCAGGATGGGCTGCGGTTTCCAAAGTGGACAGGAGAAGAAAAATAAAAGAAGTTGCAAAGTTCTTTGCTTAAAATGCAGAAATGACCAGTGCCCTGGCATTATTTATCAGTGCCAGTAACAGTGGCACTAATAACAGTGTTGTTATTCTTTCAGAGTTAGTACTTTGGTGCATTTTTCTGTCATACTCAGTGTGTTGAATACTACATTCATTTCCATTACACACATAAACTTCACAGATCCAGAGCTACATCCACCTGCAGAGCCTTTCCCACCTTTTCCTCCTCTGTGCTATAAAACATCAGGACACAAATTAGCCAATTTTAAATTTTGAAATAAGTATAACTACATAGAAAGTTGTTTCCAAGCTGTTTCTGGCATTAGAAATACTGATTTTAAAGAAGTTTAATTCTGTTCTTTTAAATTTACTCTTTTTCTTAATACATAATTCACAGAAGATACTTTGTGAAAGAAATACTGAAGCTGTTAAATGTGTGCACTTTCACCTGAAGTCATCTTGCTTTTCCTGCATTTTAAATGTTCTTAGGCCTTTCCTTTTAGACTGTTTTGTTTTCAGTAGCTACTATTTCAGTATGTTAAAACAGTTCTGACACTTCTAAAATTGAATAGAATTACTTCCATTTAAAAAGATTTCACTTCATAAGGAATAAAATATGCACACTCGTTAAGATTGTAAAAACAATGTCAAGATGTCATTAAATTGTTGATCTGAAATATAAAGTGTGGTGTGGGACTAAATGTTGTTGCTTTAAGTATTAGAACACAGACAGAAATCCCAGGCAGCCTTCCCAGGGACCAGCAGCTTCTGCCATGGAAGTGTAAGGAAAGATTTGAGCAACATCTATTCCTGTGTTAATCCGTGATTAGTCTTGGATTCACAACGACAAACTGTCATAGGTTTACTTGTTCTGAAAAAAAAAAAAACCTAGAAATTTTTCTTTCTTTCCCCTGCTTGCTGTAAAAGAAAGATGTTGAAGGAGGGAGGGGAAGGGGTAATTGACCCACACAAAAGAACTGACTGGCAGACCTGCATTCCAAGCTGATGGCCCTTCTGAAAACTGCAGGGAGGGGTGATGAGTTTTTTATTTTTTCCTCCTCTCCTTGGAAAGAGGGACATTTTTACTTTTGCCTTAACTGAGGCAAGGGAAAGCTCCGAGGCCGTTTTGCTCTCGGCCTGGTCATCTGGCTGTTTTCCAGCCTGGGCTTGCCTGTGCCCTGCTCCGCCCCCAGGCCAGACCTGCTCGGATTTCATCCGAGAGGTTTGACCCACCTGCAGAGGAAGTTTTTGGGGAGGGGGTCACGCTTTTCCCTCCTCTTTCCCTCCTCCGTTCCCGTGTTTTGGCAGCGGTTTTGTGCTCATCGATGAAGAGGGGGGAAGCCCTGGCCACAGACAGCCACAGACAGCAGGAGTTTCGTGGGAAGAACCCACCCTTCTTTCTGCTTTTCCCCTTTTCCCCCTTTCCCCTTTTCCCCTTTCCCCCTTTCCCCTTTTCCTCTTTCCCCTTTTCCTTTTTCCCTTTCCCCCTTTCCCCTTTTCCCCTTTCCCCTTTTCCCCCTTTCCCCTTTTCCCCCTTTCCCCTTTTCCCCCTTTCCCCTTTTCCCTTTTCCTCTTTCCCCTTTTCCTCTTTCCCCTTTTCCCCCTTTCCCCTTCTCCCCTTTCCCCTTCCCCCTTTCCCCTTTTCCCCCTTTCCCCTTTTCCCCCTTTCCCCTTTTCCCTTTTCCTCTTTCCCCTTTTCCTCTTTCCCCTTTTCCCCCTTTCCCCTTCTCCCCTTTCCCCTTCCCCTTTCCCCCTTTCCCCTTTTCCTCTCCCCTTTTCCCCCTTTTCCTCTTTCCCCTTTCCCCTTCTCCCCTTTCTCCTTCCCCCTTTCCCCTTTCCCCTTTTCCCCCTTTCCCCTTTTCCTCTTTTCCCTTTCCCCCTTTCCCCCTTTCCCTTTTCCCCCTTCTCCCCCTTTTCCCTTCTCCCCTTTTCCCTTCCCCTCCTCGCCGGGGGAACCTCCATTGTCGGCCCAACAGCGCCCCCTGCCGGCCGTGGTTGGAAGTACCGAACTGTTCCCTTTTTGAAGGGGACTTTGGGTACAAAAGTTTTTTGGGATTATTGTTTAGTTGCTTTTGTGTTCTTTTGTTGTTCTGCCAATACACATATATCCATATATTTTTCTTTTTTCCATAGTTCCTGAATTGGAACCTCTGAATTTCAGATTTACAGTTGCTGAGAGAGAGGAGTTTGGTCTACCTCATAACTCACCTTCCTTAGCAAAACACTTCAGTCTCGTTAAATTGAGACAGCAGTGTACTGTACAAAAATAAGTGCTTGTCGGCCACCACTTGTGGAAGTCTGTTGGAAAGTCTAAGGGCTTGTTGGCCAACACCTTCTGAGTGTAAACCGTGGGCTGGTTGTCAGACTTAAGGCGACTGTACCATAGAAGTTCAAGAGCTCCGTGACACATCTGCTGTCTTTGTTCAGCCTGACAAGAATTTACAATGAGCATCATGCCCTTGTTCATGGGTTGTGACACTTCCTTTCTTCCCTATCATCTTATCCCTTTATCCCAACCCTACTGCCATGTGCTTACAGAGCAGGTCAGGGACTAACATCCCAATTTCTATGGCCAAGTGTGTGATTTACTAATAAAACACTGCGTTTTTGTGAACTCCCTGATTTTCATTGTTCCTTTTGACCACCATCTACAACTCTTGGGTGCTCCCTTCCCCTTCAGGGTGGGACATCACAGCACCTGGCTTTACCCAGAGCAAAGAGCTTGGAGAGCCTGGAGGGAAAGCTGCTGCCTTCAGAGGAACCACGTCAAATGATCCACGGTGTCTGTCCCGGTTGGAGATCACCCCAGTGTGGCCAAGGTGGCACCGCTGGTCCCCATGCACAGGTTACCTGGGTGAGGGGATCCAGGTGTGACAAGAGCTGGCAGCAGGTGCCACTTGGGCTCTGAGGACAGGGTTGGAAAGGGCAGGGACGGAGCTGCACTGGCCCACAGAGTGACAACCTACGTCCCACAGGAGCCCTGGCACACCTGGAGGAGCCAGAGAGCTCCCAGGACCAGAACCAAACATTCCTCAGCTTCTGGGTGGTGTCAGCACCAAGGAGGTGTCGCTGCTCTGCTGTCCGGGCTGTGGAGGGGGATCCCCACATGCTCCCTAATGAGCAAAAGGTGCCCAGGAACAGCTGAAAGGGCCCCGCCCTGAGCGGCTGTGCTGGAAGGGGCTGCTCGGGCCGGTTCCAGCCAGTTCTGGGCATTGGCATCTCCATGGCAACTGCCAGGGCTGTGTGATGTGGGGCCTGCGGGTGCCCAGGGGCCACTGTGACACTGCGGGGCCTCCTGGAACCGAGGGGACATTATGACCCTGCAGGGCCTCGCCCTGCCCTGGGGTGTCTCAGGAGCCCCCCGGGTGCCCACTCCAGCAGAGCAGAGCAGAGCAGAGCAGAGCACCTCATTCAGGAGGCAGCAGCTCCCGGGCTCCCCAGCTCTGTTCCGAGGCAGCCCCATCCACCCCAGGCCTCCTCCTGCCGCCGCCCTCAGCTGCAGCCGCGGCAGCCTCAGGGCAGCCGGGCCGGGCCTCGTCCCTGGCCGGGGTCGGGCCTCGTCCCTGGCCGGGGTCGGGCCTCGTCCCTGGCCGGGGTCGGGCCTCGTCCCTGGCCGGGGCGGGGCCTCGTCCCTGGCCGGGGTCGGGCCTCGTCCCTGGCCGGGGTCGGGCCTCGTCCCTGGCCGGGGTCGGGCCTCGTCCCTGGCCGGGGTCGAGCCGTGCTGGCCCCGCAGCCCCCGGAGCTGCAGGAGCCCCGGGAGCCATGGCAGCCCGGCCCCGGGGGCACAGGGCCAAGGGCCGCAGCGGGGCAGGGCCTGTGCTGGGGGTCCCTGGCAGCCGGGCAGCCCGGCCAGCAGCACCGCAGCCCGCGGCCAGCGCCGGCGTGGCAGGAGCTGCCGGAGCTGCGGCGGCTGGCGGGGCTGGAGCCCCAGCGGCACGCCAAGGAGCCGGCAGTGCCGAGCACGGAGGGACACGGGCAGGGCCCGGGCCCGGGAGGCTCCCGCCATCTGCCCAGCCCTGGGCCAGCAGCCGCTGCTGGCGGGGCCCGCCAGGCCTTGGCTGGGGGAGCCGGGCGGCCTCTGCACATCCCCGGTCTGCTTTCAGCCCCCCCAGGGCAAATCATCTCCTGACCTGCACTGGTCACGCCAGAGGCACCCGAATGATGGCCTGAGTGAGAAGGAGGAGGTGCTGGAGGGACTGGAAGCCCAGACACAGACCCTGGCACAAGAGGCACATTCAGCTGCTCCCCAATACACTGAGCAGGGGACACGGATGGAGACCCCGGCACAAGAGGAGGCACATTCAGCTGCTCCTGAGTCAGCAGAGCGGGGGTGCCCCTCTGCTCCTCCAGGCCTGCAGAGCTCCCTCTTTCCCTCAAGCTTCATCCCACGCAGCTTCCCTGGATCAGTCTGGAGCTGCTACCTGGGATCTCAGGTCCTTAGAGATGTGAAAAGGCTCTGGGAGGAGTCTTGGGAGGAGTCTTGGGAGGAGTCTTGGGTACATCCATGAGGATACAATTTCATGTAAAGACGAAGTATCATCTTGGGCAGCTTCCCTGGGTGAGTCTGGAGCTGCTACCCAGGATTTCAGGTCACCAAATCAGAGACCAAGTCTCCAGGAAATTCTTGAGAAGGGTCTCAGGTGGATCCCAGAGGATGCTTTTTCCTTCAAAGGAGAAAAATCATCTTCAGTTGCTTCCTTGGAGAAGTATGAGGCTCATACCTGGGGTCTCACCTCTTTACAGGATGTGTGAAAAGGCTCATTGAGATGCCTGGAAGGCAACTCAGGTAGATCCTGGAAGATGCAGGAGCTATGAAAATTCTATGAAAAAAGAAAAATCATCTCTGGTACCTGCCTTAGAGGAGTCTGGGACTGCTACCTGGGATATCAAGTGACTAATTCAGAAATAAAAAGACACTGGGAGATGCCGGGCAGTGTTTGAGAAGACTCCAACTGAAACCCAGAGTATATCTTTACCTTCAAAAGAGAAAAATCACCTCGGGTACCTGCCTTGGAGGAGTCTGGGGCTGCTACCTGAGATTTGTTTACCAGTTTTACTGACCTTCTGTGACAGGGCTGCAGCACTGGTGGATGGGGCAGAACAACTGACATCATCTGCCTGGACTTATGCAAAGTATTTGACACTGTCCCACATGACCTCCTGGCCTCTAAATTGGAGAGACCTGGATTGGATGGATGGAGCATTTGGTGGATGAAGAACTGGCTGGCTGGCCGCACACACAGGGTTGTGGTCAAGGGCTCATTGTCCCCGTGGAGACCAGTGACCAGTGGTGTCCCTCAGGGGTCAGTGCTGGGGCCGATCCTGTTCAACAGCTTTGTCAGCAACATGGAGAGTCCGCCATCCTCAGATTCCCCACACACAAAGCTCAGCCCCACAGGCAATGGGATTGATCTTCCCTCAGAGTTCAGGTGTGCACAAAACAGACACCTGCATGGGAGCTGCCATGGGAATGGCTGGAGATGGAGGTCAGGTCTGATGTGTTCAGATAAAAGACCTGGTGACACCTGAAGTGCCAGGAGTGGTCCAGGATACATGGATCTGGCTGCAGGCTCCAGGGCAGCAATGCTGACACTACAGGTGACTTTTGCAAGACCACCCTTCATCTGAACTGCTTTTGATGTGCAGGAAGGGGTGGGTGCCTTGCACTGCAAACACTGATTCC